GCTCCCGCCTCAAGCCTGCCCAGAGCCAGTTCAGCGCCTCCATGGGCCACATCAACCACATCGGGGGGTCCTTGGACAGGGTCTCCCGGAGCCCCAGGGACCCCCTGGCCCCTGAGAAGGCACCCCTGTCCTGCAAAAGCATGGCCACGCTAAGCCGGCTGCAGAGCCCTGGGGAGCCCCCGCCGCCCTACGAGTTCACCTACTCGCTGGAGGATGCAGTGAAGCAGCTGGAGGACCGGCTGCAGGAGACGGGAGGAGAGCTGCGGCAGCTCAAAAGGAGCCTTAGTGAGACCGAAGACCCCTTCACGCAGGTGAGCCATGGGGCTGGGGCTGCACTGGGTGACCCTGGTGGGGCTATGGGGCAGGGGTGCCTCGGTGGAAGGAGCTGTGAAGGAGCTGATGTCCTGTTGTGGTGGGTGATGGGCTGGGAATGTCCAAGCATGGGAGGACCCAACATCATGGGACCTTCTGGGATCCCACCCTGGGGCTGCCCTGCATAGGGGCAGGCTACAGACCCTCACCAGTGTCCACCTGTTCTGGCAGGTGTTTGAGGACAAGCAGCGGCTGTGGCTGGATGAGCTGGAGGATCTGAAGCAGATGTACATGGCCAGGCTGCAGCAGGTGATGCAGCAGGCACAGCGTGGGCAGCGGGCGCTGCAGCTGCAGCTCTACAAGGCGCAGCAGGAGAAGAAGCGGCTGCAGGAGGAGCTGAGCATGCAGCAGTGCCAGTGCGAGGAGCCCAAGCTCCGGCAGACACAGGGTGAGCGTGTCAGCCCCAAGCTGGAGGAGACCAAGTGGGAGGTGAGTTCCCTTCCTTCCCTCTCTGTTGCCACCCTCCTCACTGTGGGGCCAGGACAGGGGCAGCAGTTCCCTGCTCTGGTGTCACTCATGGCCACAGGACGGAGGGGACGATCCAGGTGTGATGCTCATGGTCTCCCAGGGATGCTGTGGTGACAATCTGGGGTGCTGCCACCCCAGGGGTCCTGCTTCTCCAACCCTTCCTCACTGCTTGCCCATGCCCTGCAGGTGTGCCAGAAGGCAGCAGAGATCTCCCTGCTGAAGCAACAGCTCCGGGACACCCAGGAGGAGATGGCTCAGAAGCTGGGTGAGATCTTCAGCCTGAAGACACAGCTGCGGGAGGCCAAGGCAGAGGTCCAGGCCAGGGACTCCCAGCTGGCACAACTGGCAGACTCCTTCCAGACCCCCCCAGAGCCCAGTGCCTCGCTGCCGCTGGGCGACGACCCCATGCCGGCGTGCCAGGACTTCCCTGGCTGCGAAACTGATGATTCCAAGTGCCGGGGCCTTCACAGCGACACGGCAGAGCCCCTGGAGCGTCAGGTGGAGTGGCTGTGGGCAGAGCTGCTGCGAGAGCGGCGCCAGGGCCAGCTGCAGGCTGTGAACTTTGAGCTGGAGAGGAAAACCTGGCAGGAGGAGAAGGAGAAGGTGCTGCGATACCAGCGGGAGCTCCAGGCCAGCTACATGGAGATGTACCACCGGAGCCAGGTGCTGGAGCGGGAGCTGCGGCAGCTGCGGTCAGAGCCCAGGGATGTCGGGGCAGACTCGCCGTGGATCGAGCGGGTGGAGTCCTCGAAGATTTGAGCGAAGGGATGCCAGCGGGACTGTGAAGGGGGAAGGTCTCTTGCTGCTGCAACGGGACAACCTCAGGGTCCGCACAAGGACCGGCCGCTCCGCTGCCCTGGGCAGAAGGACTGATTGCGACAAGGGAGCTTTTCCTTCTTGCAGCGCTTCAGGCCCTTCTGTGTGTGGGGTGTCTTGGAGACGGTGGGTCACCTGTGCCAGGGTCGGGGTCTTGCATGTGCCCCGTGCTCTGACTCCAGGAGCGTTTGCTCTGTGATTCCTTCTGCCACGGGGGCAGAAACCAAGCGCCCTGTGAGACATTCCCTGTCCCTCCTGCTCTGCCGCCCCGCTTCCCTACAACCCAGTAACTTAATGTCTTGGTCAGGAGAGGCTCAAGCCCGGTCCCCAGTGCCTTGCTGTGGGGTTCCAGCTGCTGCTTGCAGTGGCTGCCCTGTCAGCAGGGTCCTGGAGCCTGCAGTGCCCTGTGCTGGGACCAGTCTGCGTTGGTGCCACTGGGAAGGCAGAGGAGGAAAGCCTGATAAGTGCTGGGAGGGGGGAGGCAGCTGCCCCAGCACCTTTGTTGGTGCTTTCTGTGTCACTGGTATTGGGGCCACTCTGCACTGGGGGGTGGTTAATGCAGCTTCCCATCACGGAGCCCTTGGGCTGAGGGATGAGTGCCTTGTGCAGTGAGGGACGGGAGCCCAGCACCCTGCCGTGCTGGGAGCCCTCTGGGGAGGGGAAAGAGGACTGGGGCATGTGGGCAGGGGGCTGGGATGCTCCCCAAGCCGGGGTATCCCCACATCACCCCTGCCAGGGTGGGTGAGGGGTAGCTGAGGAACTGGGCCAGTGCTGGGGGGAGAGCAGGTCGAGAGGCGCTGGAAGGAGCCCTGCTCCATGCCTGTAACAACAGAGCCACATGAAGGCTGGGCCTGGCCCCGCTCTCCTCGGTCTTTCCTGCAATAAACCCGGATTTCATTCTTCTGTCCTCTGCCTTTGCTTTCCTCCAGCGCGGGTGGCGGGCTGGCCTGGGCCCTGCTGTGCCCGGGGAGGGTTCCTGGGAGCCGCCGCGTCAGGGCAGGAGGCGGCCCGGTGCTGGCGGTACAACCAGTTGGGGCATTGCAGCGGGCTG